AAAACTCAACTCCGTATAAAAAAAAAAAAAAAAAAAAAAAAAAAAAAAAAAGTTACTCTCTTTATGTGCACCTGTAATAGCTTGATTTCAGTCCCTATTTTCTTCCATTTGACTCAAATTTACACCGTTCATATACTGAAGATTTAATGATAATAAATGCGACCACGGTGAAGTGTGTGTTTTAGAATGGACTTACGATTTGGGGGAAAATTCAGCATGGGAATGCTTCTCAAAATATAACAATCTGCCTTACTGAGAGTTTTTGGGAAATCTACAAGAGTACTGATTATGTGATTATCTGGGAAAAAATAAGAGGTCTTTGAAATGCATATTGTCTTCAAGAGAACAGTTTTAACACTTTACTAAAATGAAATCTTTTGAAGCAAACTCGTGGCATCAATACTTGGTTGATGAGTAAGCTGAGTTTCATTAGTGCACCTGATTTCTAATCAGATCATGAGACATGAACAGAGACAGTGACATCTGTGTAGCTTTTCCTTTGGTAGGCACTTCTTTCTTGAGATGACTCCATGAGCAAACATAACTGGGATTGTTGTGAATGACACCATCACAGCCACAAAGTTGATTGGTTCATTGATAAATCAATTATGGGGTTTTGATGCTAGAAGGATAACATATTAGAAATCTTTACTTTTCAATAGCGGAAACTAAGGTGCTTCACTTTTGTTTTCAGTAAACATCTGTGTCATTTTGAACTAACATAGAGTAGCAATTACATGAGAAAGAACACAGTGCTCATTTTCGTAAGACTTCATTTCATAAATTGTCACTTAGCAAAGGTTATTGCAGATTCTTCCTTGAGAACTTCCCATTTTCTGTTGATTTCCTTAAACATTTCTTCAGGGTTGAACAAGTTCTGTTGATACATTGTGTCCTGCAAAGAAAACTGTATTTGTGGTCAAAAAACGAGGATTTTAGATCTCTGATTCTGATTTACTTATTTGGCAAATCGTTTTACTTCATGGAGCATATTTCATGATATATGAGGTAGAAATAGTTATAATTTCCTCATAATATTACTGTTAGCTGAAATGAGGTAAATGTGAAATTGGTTTCATAATCTGAACTGCAATATAAAATGTAAGAGAAATCAAGAAAATATTTTTAAAAGGATCTAGTGATTTACTTTTGAATATAGGGGAGCACAAACATGCATAAACAATGTTAAAAGAAAAACTTAAGATGAATTAAATTTAAAGGAGTTTAATTGAGCAATGAATGTTTTGTGAATTAGGCAGCCTCCTGAACCAGAGCAGAGTCAGGCTCCAGCACAGCCAGGTGGTGGAGAAGATTTATGGACAGAAATAGCAAAGTGTAGCACAGAAAAAGGGCGTGAGGTACAGAAAAAACTAGATTGGTTACAGCTCAGCGTTTGCCTTGTTTGAACATGGTTCAAACAGTTGGCTACATATGATTGACCAAAACATGGCGATTGGCACAAGTGTAGGCTAGGGTCTGTTTACACGTCAACTTGCTTTAGTTCAGAAAATGTACAGAGAAACCTTTAGGCAGAGCTTAAAATATGTAAGGATACGACAGGAGAAGTTTTGTTGTTAAACTCGTTTTAACAACAAACTTCTTTGGAGATTTGTATTTAAGAAAAAGTTGTAGAAGGACACCTACATTAGGGAACTAAGGCAATTATTAGCAAATATTTTCTGTGATGAGAGCAGATGTTCCATGAAAGTAGTTCGTATTATAGATACACAAGAAGTGAGAATTAAGTCTGTAATTAAGCAATTGTTATGTAAGCCTTGGTGCTACAAAAAGAAAATATGGCTCATGGAGAAAGTCAAATGATTTGGGGGATTAAGTTGCAAAACAGAGACATGTATTCTAAATGTTTTGACTCCTAGCATCCTATGTAGTTGCAGGCTAGCTCAGGGATGGATGGCAAGCATCTCTTTAAATGCCATTAATTTGAAGAGTCTAGCTACTTGCAGAGTGAGTGTTGAATGGTGTCTTTCCAAGTCTGGGACTAGGCAGTAGTATCACTTTAGAGAGCAAAGAGGGAAAAAAATAGCAAACATTTCAAAACAACAGAAAAAGAGTGTAGTATAACATTCTCTCCACTCAATTTTTCACATCGATTTTAAGAATAGGAAATAATCATAAAATGAAATTTTAACTGACTTGCTGAGAACAATATCCAATTAAGAACCAGAGAAGGGCACTGTATGAATTGGTTATCAGCATGAGGAGACTTTTTTTTTTCTTTTAGGTTCTTGTTTATGTAATTCTGAAGAAATTGCAGCAACAGTCAAATGAGGAGCCCAGCCTTTCCTAGCAGAGCTAAGATCCCCAGAATAAATACCGAGTTCCTTCTTTACCAAGGATATCAAACCTGCTCTCAGAATTTATCAACAGGAAACAGGCCATGAGCCCTGTTACAGCAGGAAGTGTGAAAAAGGTAATGGGAAGCTTTCATTTTGGGGATGCAAACAGATTATAAATATAGAAAAGTCTAGTAGGTTTTCTCAGGGCCAGTTTTAATATTTGGGAGTCAACTCCTCTGTAGAGAGATTCTAACAGCTTCTGAAGATTACAAACAGCAGGATAATGTGATTTAAACTGTGCTTGACTTTTGCATAAGCTTCACGTATGAATAATTTTTTAGGCTCCAATAATATCTACTATAACTCTACCAATATCATTATCCTATTGTTTTTCTTTTTACACATCGAATGTACTTTAACAGAACCATGTAACGAAATCTCTTTACATTTGCAGGACAGTTTTACTTTCAGTTTTCTTTTCCTTTGTTTAAAGCTAACTTACAACTTGATGAGAGAGATCTAAGATACCCAATTCATTGTTGGTAGGACTAGGATATAAGACTGGTATTCCCGGTGCTGTCTCGAAAATGCCTTGAATCCTGGACCAAAAGCAACCTGCAGAGAAGAATCTCCCACCTATAGTATCTGTGAGGATAGCAGCATCGCTACTGAGGATATTTGTAGGAGCTGAAGTCAGTTGCGCTGTGGATAAATTCTAATTCGTAAATGCTGCATCATACACTGTGGATGACATCAGCTGAAGGATGCTTGCCCTTTGGCTTCATTGTACTTTTTCTAAGAATAATTATACATGTTTTCTATCCTTTCTCTAAACATAACTCCATGACAACACTTTGAAGACAGTCTTTACTAGTAAACTCTGCTACCATTTCTCCTTTATTCCAGGCTATTACATTCAGCTGCCAGCTGTCAGCTGTGAAAACCAAACACAGGAGGCAGTATATGTTATGTTTTCTCTGCTATTCTTTTCCAAGTTCGGCAGAACACTAGAGAAAAGTCTCTTTTATTTAAACGTCCACATTTAAACTCCAGGTCAAAGATAAATAAAAATAAAACATGCTTTTCCCTTCCTTACATGAACTTATCCATTGAAAAAAAAAAAAAAAAAAAAAAACCTTTAGGTAACAAGGTATTTAGTTTTATTTACATGATTTCCACTGACTTGGTGAACTAGGTTGTATTTCTACTTTATATATTTGAGTGATGCCTTTTTTATTTTTATTTTTTGGGACAGAATCACACTCCTTCACCCAGGCTGGGGTGCAGTGGTGCAATCTCGGCTCACTGCAATCTCTGCCTCCCTGGTTCAAGCAATTATCCTGCCTCAGTCTCCAAAGAAGCTGGGATCACAGGCGCCCACCACCACGCCCAGCTAACTTTTCCATTTTTAGTAGAGATGGGGTTTCTCCATGTTGGGTTGACCAGGCTGGTCTCAAACCCCTAGCCTTAAGTGATCTGCTTGCCTCGGCCTCCCAAAGTGCTGAAACCACAGGCGTGAGCCACTGTGTCCAAAGTAAGTGATGCCTTTATCCTGAAGAAGAAAAGATGAGAATCTAATGTACCTCAGCTCCTCTTTGTGAGAAATGAAGAACTGAATAAAATCATATTGAATTAAGCAAATACTTGTTGAGAACCTACTGTGTGGTAAGGTGTAAGGATGGTAAATGGTAAAAGGTGATATAATAATAATTAAGGAATTTGTTCTTTCTGTAAATCACAACATACTTAGCTATTAACTGTCTCTTGGAAACAAGATAGCTCATGCTTCAGGGGGCCTGCAGACTTAGGGCAGAGACTGTCTATAGATTTATTTGAGGAGAATCCATTAACTTTAAAGCAAATATTCTCTCCAGAGTACTGCTGATGTTTTACACATAAACTTTAACTTCTCAGTATCCCTGCATCAGGAGCAAAAGAAAAAAAGGTATCATTTTTTCCTTGAAATGCACAATCAAAGGTTGAAACCCAGAGATGACTTGTGATGTGCTCCAGAGAACAACAGCAAACACTGACAGAGTGTTCACTGTGCAAGACTATTCTCACCATTGATATATATTTACGGCCTAATCCCCAAACAATATTCTGAAGTAAGTTACATTGTTATTTTACAATGAGGCCATTAACACACCATGAGGTGTAGCTGAAAGTGCCGGACCAAAACAACCTGCAGAGAAGAATCTCCCACCTATAGTATCTGTGAGGAAACCAGCATCAAATTGGAAGTGGGGAGACGGGAAATAGGAAAACACAACATACTAATTGTTACTTTGCGTCTTTTAAACCTTTATTTTTACAATTACACTACTGTTATAGAATATTAAGGAATTTGATCTTATGAGAATCGGGGATTTTTTTTTTTAAATAAGTAACATGATATTTTCAGAATAACAAAACCACAAAACAGTGTTTACCATTTCTTTTTTGCTCTCTGTTTGTAGCAGCGTGGAGTCTTCCTTTAAATAATTCTCTTGACTGGTGTGCCAAAATTTCCAATTTTCAGAGATAGTAACAACTTTCTCCATTCTGAATCAAATTGTCTGACAAGGGGTGCAGTTATGGGCTTTGAGTGTAAACTTTTTACTTTATTATCATCATCGTAAAATTTTAGCCTCAGACCTTCCCAGAATAAACCCTGCGTCACCCCCAGTGAGGCTGAACTCTGTAACAGAATGGTTCACATGTTGCAGGACTTAATCAGTTTCAGCTTCTCTGAGGCAGAATATAGTAAAATTCATATAATAATTTCCACTTGCAATGGGCCTTTAACTTAGAGATAAAATTAATTTGGGGATGTCTTTACCAAAATTTTTCCTTTTCTGTGAAAATTGATCAGATTTTTCCAGTTGTATCAATCTTTCCTTTCTTTGACTTCTCATCATTTATAGTGTTCCCTTGCCTGCTTACTGTTTCCTGTCAGTTAATCTTACTGTCCCAATTTGGCTAAAATGTACTGGACCATTGGATGGATTAAATAAATTAGCCCTGAATTTACATTTAAATTCTGAGAGTTAAGCAAGAAAATATTTCATAGATAATGGAGAGAACAAGTAATGCACCTTTGGGAGTGATTTGAAAACATGCTGGTGCAGAAAGTTGGAGAAGAACATAAATGAACAATATGCTAATTTAGGACTCTGATACAACTAAGAAGTAAGTCTCAATGTTTCATCAGTTTTATGGAACCTGTCTTAAGAGGAATATCTTCACAAAAGAAGGATGATCAAATGTGTAAAAGGGGAACCAAAGACCAAGAATTTGACCAAATGTTCCTGGGAGATTTATAGAAGGAAAGACGCTGAAGTGTCCACAACTCTGGTTTATAGACAGGCCCTGTGTTTAGAATAAGAAATAATTCATAGCTGGGTGCTGTGGCTCATGCCTGTAATCCCAGAACTTTGGGAGGCCAAAGTGGGCCAACCACGAGGTCAAGAGATCAAGACCATCCTGGCCAATATGGTGAAATCCCTTCTGTACTAAAAAAAAATACAAAAATTAGCTGGGTGTGGTGGCGCATGCCTGTAGTCCCAGCTACTCAGCAGGCTGACGCAGGAGAATCGCTTGAACCAGGGAGCTGGAGGTTGCGGTGAGCTGAGATGGTGCCACTGCCCTCCAGTCTGGCAACAGAATGAGACTCTGTCTCTAAATAAATACATAAATAAATAGAAATAATTCATTAGTGCTTCCATGGCCCAGATGTTGAGTTGTTTAAAGCTCTTCAATATTTTTAGTTTGGAATCCCTGCCAAATATCCTGAAGATTGTAAAAGTTATAGTGTAAATAGTATAGACAATGGTATTTGTGGGGTTGGAGAACATGTTAGATTAGTAGGTCTCCATATTGGATATTGTCACTGTATTCAAGGTTGATGGCTTAGAGGCGGGCCTCATTCAAGCTTGCAATGACCTGCTACATACAGAAACATTGTTGGGCACACAGTGATTCTTCAAACATTTACTTGATTAAATTTTAATCGGAAGGAACTATGGTTGACTTTTTACCTCTGTCATTGGTAATTATGTAAATGGCATCCACTACAGGAAAGTTAATTCTCTAAATTATATGTACAAGTGCTATTGAATGCCAGCTAAGTAACCATAGAATACTTGACAAACTATACTACAGGCAGAAATATATTTAGGGGGCTTTAAAATGCTTGTAAAGAATAGAAATGATTAAACCACGGCAACTTTATAGAATTGTTTACAAGAGCTTAGTCCTGCATTGTTTTAAGAATTTTGTGGTAAATGCTCTGATTTTCCAAATAAATTTTTACGCTCAAAGCTATCTAAACTTGAATCTAAAGTAATAGCTACACTAAATATATTAGGAAATTTGTAACTAGAATTAAAGATACACTTACAAATTTGAATGATTGGATAAAACTCTCGTGTGTATATGTGTGTGTGTGTGTGTGTGTATGCGTGTGTGTTTCAAACTGACTTATTGCACGTATACTGTTACTGGTGGAACAAAATGTCTCCTTGCACCCAATTTCACTCTCCCAAAACAGCCGGATTTACCAATTTATTTCTATTCTTTGGGAGATATTTAGAATTTTACAAATGAAACAAAATGAAATATTACAAATGAAAGCTAATAAATATAAAATTTCCCCTCTCCTCTTTACACAAATGATAACAATATGTTTACATGGTTTTGCACCTTTTATTTTATCATTTAAATGTACATATGGACACAATTTCATATCAGTACATAGACAGTTTTCTCATTCTTTCCTTTTAAGTGTATAGGATTTCATTCTATGGATCCATCATGATTTATTTTAGTAGTTTTCTATTGCCTTTTAGACTGTTATCATTTTGTATTACAGAAAGAAATACAGTATAGGGAACCTTAGTTACACATAATTTCACACATGTGCAAGTATATATATATATTTTTTATCGTTTAAATTATTTTTATTTACAGAAAACTCTACAATGTACATTTCACCCCATTCACTTTCAAGTTTGTTGGCCTTTGCTTTTTCCAGGCTTGGCGATGTGAGCCACAGACTTGGGACCCGGGACGTTGCCTCCCCAGTGACTGCGTATCTCATCATATCTGTCACTGTAGTTTGTCCTGCTAGCTTCCACCAGCTTAGCCAAAGCGCCTTTGTCTTCCTCATTAACCTGGGTGAATGCGACAGTGGTGCAGGTCTTCCTGTGGACTAGACGTCCCAGTCTTGCTTTCCCCTTGATAATATAGTAGGGGACTCCCATTTTCCGACACAGGGCAGGCAAGAAGACAACCAGCTCGATGGGATCCGTGTCGTGTGCTGTCACCACCAGCTGGGCTTTCTTGTTCTCCACCAAGGCAGTGACGGTGTTAACTCCTGCTGGAAGGACAGGTGGTCTCTTAGTGGGTTCGTCCCCTTTGCCAGCAGCTTTCTTCTCGGCCCAGGCCAACAGCCTCTGCTTCTTTTCTTGCTGTCTCTCTGGCCTATACTTCTGGGCCAGTTTTAGCAGCTCAATAGCTGTTTGGCGGTCCAGGGCCTGGGTAAACTGGTTAATGGCAGGAGGCACTTTTAGCCGCTTATAGAGGATGGCTCTCTGCCGCCGCAACCTGATACAGCGGGGCCATTTCACAAAGCGGGTGAGGTCTCTTTTGCGCTGGATGTCCTGTCCAATGCCAGAATTCTTCGGCCTGTGCTCAAACACGGGATTCGCCACTTTTTCGGCCTCCTGCTTCTTCACAACAGCAGGGGCGGGAGCCAGCTTCTTCCCCTTGGCCTTCTCTCCTTTCGGCGTCTTGAGCTGCGGGAAGACAGAGAAAGCGCAAGTATGTTATTAAGGCAAGTTTCTAGATCAAAATTGTGTACATTTAAACTATATTGGATATTTAAAAATACCTAATATCTACTATCCATAAATACTATTGCAAATGATACCTCATATCATTGCAAGGTGCAATTATCTTTTTATGTTCTTAGTTGAAACTCACATATATATATATATAAAAAGTCAGATGTATTTCCTTTTCTATGAAGTCTGTGATTATATCCTTTGTAATTTGTTACCCTTGTTGAGTTTCTTGTCTTTTCCTTGTTTTATTGTGCCGTGGACATTAATTCCAGCAGACCTGGAATCAGCCTGAGCAGTGTTTCTAAAGCTCCCACATGGAACTGACCTCTAGATAAGCCTGAAACATATTGATTCACAGCGTAGCTTTGTAATCACAAGTATGGGAATTTGGGGGCCACCTTATACTAGCTTGTTAGCATTGTTTATTGATGACAATGTGATTGATGCTTTGCCCTGGTTACAATG